CCCGCACCGCGCCCGCCCGCGAAGGAGGGACCCGCGTCGCCCCCAACGCGCGGAGGAGGAAGAGCAGGGCCCCGCCGCCGCCGGCGCCGGTCAGACCAAGCCCGGCCGCGCGCCTGGCGGCGGCGAGGGAGGAGGGAGGAGGAGGGAAGACCGGCGGCGGAGGGATCTAGCGCCCGCCCCGGCCGCCTCGCGGGTGGCGGCACGGGGGGAGGGGGGGAGCTAGACAACTCTCAACAGAACTCATGTGCAGCACTATTGTGAAGCACTTTGTTTGTTTGTGGACTGGCCATGCAATGGTAGGCTCACCAGGCACCCCATGTGACTGTAGTTGATGCATTTTCCTAGTCTGTGTTGAGGGCCAAATTGTAGCTGTTGGTCACCATTTATGATTGATATGCTTGTCTCAGTTAGAAGCATTTGTAGTATTGCTAGCTAGCAGGATTAGCTTTTTAGAAGACGTTGCTTTGCTATTTTCAGATGTTACTTTTTTAACTAAGAAATTGCCAACAGTAACCTTCGCTTTTTTCATAGAACATTGGTTTTGGATCTTGCATATTTTTTTACTGTTTCTTCCGGCCACTATTTGTCCAATAAGATACATAGTGTTGTGATAGTATCCGTTGATCTGAAGCCCTATTTGTCCAATAATATGCCAGCCGTCCTGCCCAAGTTGACATGGTTTTGGCAAGGACGTGGTTTAGGTTACTGGACTAGCTTAAACTTTTATCAAAATAAAAAGCATTTTCAGTTGATATATCATACTAGTGTTCTGAATGTACAATAGATGTTCATAGGTTATTTTAAAGGTACTCCATGCATGTGCTGGTTAAATCTCATTGGATTGAAGTGATTGAAATACATAATTTTTCGATTTATATAAAGTTATGTTGTCAGGCACTCTGTGATCTATCATTCATTTGTGTTTGCCTCAGCGTTCATACAACTGCATTTTGGGGTTGTACCAATTCCAAGGTTCGTTCTAGCTTGTACCACATCGCAGGTGGTTGCTGATACTTTGCTTCTTCAATGCAACACTGCCATTTACTTCAGATTTTAGCATGCATGTGCTTTATTGTTTAGTCAGATTTACGTGATAGTTTCCTTGGTAAAGAGATGTATGTGATGATAAGAAGGCAATTAGTTCATTTTGTAGTCCTGCTCTTATATATATATGATATATGTGTGTTTTGTTCTTTGATAAATGTTGAGTATATTGATAATTAGGAAGTATAGGATAGACTAGGATTCGGTCCTGCGTTGTCTTGTACTCCAAGTTGGTCTTTGTACTCCTATATATATGCCCACGAGGCTCAAGCAATACAACAACTATTCCACCAATCCCTCTCTCCCTTCTAACATGGTATCTATCGCAAGTCGATCCTAAACCCTAGCCGCCACCGCTTCCGCACCTGCGCGCCGCCCCCGGGGCGGTCGGTCTCCTTGACCGCCGCCGGGGGCCGCGCCGCCCGTACCTAGGGTTCGTCCGCCGGTCGTGTTGACCGGCTGCCCTAGAGAGTCTTTTTCCCGATCCGTTGATCCGGGTTTTCTCTCTCGCCGGTCGCTTTGATCGGTGTCTACTTTTTGGTTTTCCGGTCTTTGTGATCCGGTTTGCGTCGCCCACCGCCGCCGTCGACACCGTGCGCCTCTACTCCGACTTCGGCATCGACTACACCGGCGTCTTCACCGACCTGGTGGCCTCGCGCGTCGTCCACGCGTCTACCCGCCGGTCGCCCCGACCCGGCGGCCTCGCATCATGCGGCGGCCCTTCACCGCAGCCGTTCGCGCGACGGCCCGCCCGTCGATCTACGCCGGCCGTCACCGCCTGCTCCGACCAGGACTCCTGCATCACCCCGACCCGGCGGCCTCGCGCCATGCGGCGGCCAATCATAGCCGCCCTGCCGCCCGCCGCCGCCGGCTTCATCTCGGACTCCGCCGCCACCACGCCTTCACCGAGCGGTGTCCCCGACCTCGCGCGCGATCGGCTTGATCACCCGCTCGCCGCCGCTATCAGCCTCATCTACGGCGCGCGACCGACCTGGCCCGTCGGTTACGCGCGCCTTCGCAGGTCCCGTGAAGATCGCCTTCGAGTTCAGCGCGCCCCTCCGTCGATCGAGCAACGGGCTGCCGCTGCGTCGCCCCGTCGGGCCGCAGCGCCGCCGCCCCGTGGTTCTCCTCCCGGCTGCACCGACCCGCGTCACCGCTGCGTCGCCCCTTCGGGCCGTAGTGCCGCGGCCCGCGGTCTACCGCCGCCCCGAGGTCGTCCACTCCAGGCCGTCCCCGTGGCTGCACCGACCCTCGCGCCGCCGCTGCGTCGCCCCGTCGGGCCGTAGCGAGCGTGGCACGCGGTCCACGCCGCCGTCTCGAGGCCGTCCACGCGGTTGCACCACCCCGCGCTCCGCCGCTGTGCCGCCCCTTCGGGCTATAGCACCGCGGCCCGCGGTCCCTGCGACCGTCCCGAGGTCTTCCGTCGTCACCCCGACCTGCCGTCACCGCACGTCGACCTCCCGTGGTATGCGCCGCGCCGTCTCCCTTGGCGCGGGAACGCCACCGTCCACGCCAGTCTTCGTCATGCTGTCAGGGTTCTTCGCCTACGTCGAGCACCGCCGCCGCACTCCTAACCTAGCCGCCGCCGCCGCCTTCAGGCCGCCGCTGCCGCTCTTCTTTGTCCGCCGCCGCCGCTACCTTTGTAGCCGCCGCCGCCGCCCGTCCACCCCCTTCATCTTCGTCCAGCACCAGTTCGTCGCCAGCGTCGCCGTCATCTACCCCGACCGCTTCATCTACTCCGACAACCGCGGGCGACATTGGCCCCGCGCCGATTGGCGCCGCAACCGTCGTCGAGTCCTTCTCTGCTGGCCTCTCCGACTTCTCCGACATGGTGTACAGCTCGTGCAGGTCCCTCGTCTACGCATGCCCGGTGCTGGCAACACCGCCGCGTGCCTTCATCCACGACGTGTCCCCGGGCCTGGCAAGCCTGGCGCGGCGCTTCGTCAACTTCGTCTTCGTCCGTCTACGCATGCCCGGTGCTGGCAACACCGGTGCGTGCCTTCGTCCACGATGTGTCCCCGGGCTTGGCAAACCCGCCGCGACGCGTCGTCAACATCATCTACCTCCTGGCGCACCACTACTTCGACACCACTGCGCCCATGCTAACTCGGCGCCCCCTTGCGCCCGCGGCTCCACGGCGACTTCCTCGACACCGGCCACCCCGACTCGACATCGACCACGGCATTCTTCGCACGGCTACCTCGACCACGGCTCCACCATACACGCTCTCGGCTACATCGACAAACGGCACAAAGGGCTACCGCCTGCTTGAGCAACCTCGTCGGTTTTCACTCCAGCCACGACTCCGCGATGCGTCGACTGTTACGACTGTGGGGGGTGTTCGTCGGCTTGCCTTCGGATTCTTCTTCAGTCTCACCGTCTGCATCGCTACCGTTGTGACTGCGGGGGGATGTTGAGTATATTGATAATTAGGAAGTATAGGATAGACTAGGATTCGGTCCTGCCTTGTCTTGTACTCCAAGTTGGTCTTTGTACTCCTATATATATGCCCACGAGGCTCAAGCAATACAACAACTATTCCACCAATCCCTCTCTCCCTTCTAACAATAAAGAACCACTGCTAAAATAGTCTGGCATGTGCGCAGGCAAGGTCATTTGGGAGGCTGGGATGCTTACAATCGTGGTTGTCTTGAGCCTCACTGCTTACACCTTCTGGGCTGCAAGGAGGGGCAAGGACTTTAGCTTCCTTGGTCCTTTCCTATTTGCTTCTCTGATGATTTTGCTCGTCTTTGGGTTCATTCAGGTCCGATGCCGTCCGTTCCATTCTCTAGTTAGGTGTTAGTTAGGTGTGTCGCCCATTTATCTATCAGTCTTCTCTATTCTACAATGCACATATATACTTCTGTTTGCAGATCTTCTTCCCGCTGGGCAAGCTATCTCACACGATCCATGGCGCGCTGGTGGCACTCATCTTCAGTGGCTACATTGTCTATGACACGGGCAACATCATCAAGCGTTACACCTATGACGAGTATGTCTTGGCCGCCGTCATACTCTACCTTGACATCATGTTTCCAGCTGGGCCTGCCACCCTTTATTGGGTGGATGACAGCCAGGCGCGTCACCCTGCCCCTGCTCTCTCATGATTCAAACCCCGTGGACGAGTTTGGTATCCTGACGAGTCCCATGACAAGTAGAGAGGATGCATAAGAAAACTGCTGTGCGTCGGTTCTATTCTATGTATGGTGGATGTGATGTTGTATTTAGGGGATCTTTGACATGCTGGATTGCTGGTGCTGCTGCGTTTACGGTATTCTGATATCATTTGTGTAGCCGTGTGGCTTCTACTTCTTGCTTCCCAGCACATATGAAGTGGTCTCCTGGCCCGCCTTGTGGATGGCGTTTGTCCTTGTACTACGAAAGAGATACTAAACGGACGCCTGTTCGCATGTATACCACTTAGAGAAATCTAGCAGAGTCTGTTATTTGTGTGGTTGTTGCAGCCATATGACATGTAGAGGTTGCAAAGGCAAAACACAAACTCAGATTAGCTAAAAAGAGATTTTCATGTTTTTTGTACATATGTGTCCCACCTGTCTTTGAGTACAACGGTTCTTTTTAGAAGATTCAGACTTTAGTTCGAACGCAAAGAGAAGCATTATTCATTGTTGACCTTTTACAGTGAATTTCGCATAAAGAACACATTTTGGTAGATCCACCCTTTTCAAGGCAAAAGCACAACCAAACAGTTTTCATTTCTTGTCAGACTTTTTCACCTCCCAATACACCCATAATAAGAACCCATGTCAAGTTTTAGTTTTTTGGGACCATATTTAGGCTTATTTTTTTGTGTGAAAAATACAAAAATACAATCAGTGCCTAAATACAAGCAAAATAGATATAAGAATTGTCTCTAAAATTTAGACAATGTGAGATTATTATTGTCATCATCAATGATATAATACATGATCTAAACCATTCTCACGTGGCAGGTACACAGAATGATTGGATATAAGATGTTCTGGTGGAAAAGGTATTTTATAAGGGTCATTTTTCAAAAACAAATCATTCCATTTGAACTTCCACAATAAAAGTTGTGAGAATTTGAAGTTAGAGGGTCTTTTATGCAGAACCACCTAATTAGTTGTAATTAAATAATTTTAGTTTAAAAGCTATGCCAAGTGGCGTGATCTGGGTCATGCTGTTTAGTGACAATGAACAACAGTGGCTGATTGGTCTTTTTTTTTAGAAAAGGAGGATTACCCCGGCCTCCGCATCTGATCGATGCATGCAGCCATTTTATTAATTATTACCAGAGACCTTGCAAATCATTACATCAGTAAGCCTGAAGCCACCATCCTGGCGACACCTGTCGCTACTCCTATCCCCTTGATGCAGAGGTGCCGAATATCCGAGCCTAATACCAAACAGACATCGCACCAAAACCTAACATCTAATGCCGGATGCCCCATCCCAACCACATACCAGGAACGGGTCACATACCGGCCCGGCGCACTCACCGAGGCTACAACCGCCGTCATCCACATAACCATCCCCAGAGCAGGTACCGACGCAACTTGCCAGGTCAGCTGTCAACGCCACCATGGCGCCAGACAGCGCCACCGCCTTGTGTTCCTCCATCCAGCCGCATCTGTCGACGATAATCTATCACCGCGCATCGGATGCCGAGTCTCCATGGCGCCACGCCATTGAGATCCACCATCATCGACGTGATAAATGAAAAACCGCTCCACCACTTGTCTCCTACATCCAGCCGCTGCTCAAAAACGATGCCCCCATGAGGGAAAACAACGCAAAAAGCACCGCCATCGTCTGATCCGGAAACTCCGGATCTAGGTTTTCATCCGGAGCAGCGCAAGTAAGTCGACCGAAACTGCAGTGGCGATGTCTTCAACAAGATAGCGACGCGAAAACGCCGCCATCGCCCGCCATGACCCGAGTCATAGCGCGGTTTTCACCGGCAGCCTCGTCTCCCCACTCGACGCCGGGACTGGATGCTAGAATGCACAACCATCTAGCCGATGAAGACTGAAGACTGAAGACGATGGGCTCGGCCCCTCTGTCACAGAGCGCGTGGGTGCGGTTGTCGTTCGATCTAGCTCAGACAGCTGCGAGATTTAGATCGCAACATATCGTTTTCTGTTTTTACTGGGCACACGATGGGGTGAGTTTTGGGTCAGCTTAGCTGGGCTGATGGGCTGGCTGGGCTTCTTTCACTTTCCCTTTTTCTTTTCTGTTTGTTTTCTTTTTCTTTATTAACCCAGGGTTTGAACCGACTTTTAACTAGCACAATTTCATCACAGTGCAAATCCATTGAACTCTCGAAAATTAGAAAAAAAAATACTAGGGCTCATATGGATCATAGGGAAAACATTTCCAACCCTGATGCGATATTTTTAATACATTTTATCCAAATGGACTTAATATAACTATTAAATATATCTCAAACTTAATTAGGGTTCCTAGAATAGTCAAATTAATTCCAAACAACTTCAAATGCACCGAAGTCATGATATGCAAGTGTATGCTATGTTCACATCCTAATTTCAAAAAAGAAATTGTATATGACACCACCACGTGGAGGAGTCCTTCCCACTTCTGCGGCCATCGCCGCGTCAACATCCAAGCAGGGTAAGGGGGTGTCTATAAGTATGTTGGCGCCACCACTGCCTCCGCCAGCAAGCCTTGCCGAGGACCATGCGAAGGAGTCCTTCCCGTCGCCACCGCCACCTCCTTGGTCGAACCTTGCCGCCTAGCTAGAGGAATGGGGGCCAATCTTTGCCGGCAACCAGTTGCGGAAGGACACAACCGCATTGAAGAAGCAATGGGTGACCCATCAGACCAGGTCTAGTGGGTATGCGACACTTTTCCATAAAAAGAGTCCGACTAGAGGTAACGAACGTTCAATATCATGCTATGTTAAGAGCATCTCCAGCCGCGCCCCCAACAAGTTTTGAGCCCCAATTACAATTCGAGGATGGACTTGCAACTGAGACAAAAAAATGTCAAAGTCCAGTTGCGGATCGAGGGTGGGGTTGCAACTATGACAAAAGAAGATCGACCCCCGTTGCAAGTTGAGGTTAGAGTTGCAACTTGGACAAAAAATACAGACCTTGTCATGAAAATTTTAAAAAGAAAAAGTGAAAAGCTGGAAAAAATATAAAAATCATGAATAAAAAAAAGAATTTGAACAAAAAAAGGAAAAAAAAAGATTGAAAAAAGTTCACCTGTGGCCACAACAACAAACGAGGAGGCAACGTAGGAGGAGCAAGATCAATTGATAGACAACGGCCTACTGCCATGATGCCCGGCCTGAACGACCCATACATGAATAAGATCAATCAATAAAAAAACAAAGAATACTAATCTTAATGTCTAAATCATGTGGCTAGGAAGTTAGATGTGAGATAACTATTTCACATCTAGATGTGAAATAGGAAATCTGATTCACTTAACCATTGCGTACACGAAGTAGGAGTATTTTCTATTCAAGTAGTCGATCAACACGCCTAGTATTTATCTATAGAAGGTTGAGATTATTTTTTTGAGGGGAAAAAAGGTTGAGTTTTTTCTTTTCTTTTTGAGGATCAAAAGGTTGACAGTTTGACTTGTACTTTCGCACCACAACTTTTAATTTTAATAAGCTTTGGATGACGCAGAAATACTTTATTTTATTTTACAAAACGGGGAATAGAGCCAGTGACGTGACCATACCAGGTCAAGCTCCCTACCGCTAAGGCAAGTGCCTGGTTGGCATAACGCATACATACGACGCCTGCGGTCTATCTGACATTGTGCTGTCGAAAATGAATTCCAAAAATTTGGGGGGTAACAAATTTTCCTGGGGCATCGAGATTTCCGGCAATCGGCGAGTTACCTGAAATTCGCACCGAGAACAAACGGCAGCGGCGTGAGGGAAAAGATGAAACATTTTCGTTTCGAGAGGAAAGGTGGAACTCGCGAGAAAGAAAAGAGGAACTTGCAGCGGCAGCGTGCGGCCAGCGCCTCGAGGAGGACATACATATTTTTGTTTGGTGTGGACGGTGGACGTGATTTATTTCCACTAGTAGTAGGTGTAGGTTATGTCCATGTCAAAAAAAGAAGAGGCAATACGCCATTGTCCATCTCAAACAAAAAAGCAATAGGCTAGGCCATGTCATCAATCCGTGGATGTCTCGACCAATAGGCTTCAAGTGCATGGATTATGTGTTTCTTTGCCAACCAATAAGTTTCAAGTACATGAATTATGTGTTTCTTTGCCAATCAATTGGCTTTAGGTACATGGATCATGCGTTTCTTTATAAAAATGAGTGTGTTGTATGCACTATGTGTAAAATATTACATGATGAAAAGGAATTAGCATGATGCTTAAATGGATGAATAGAATAAGAAGAACAAAGACTGCCCCTGGAGAAAATAAGGAAAAAGAACAATTTCACGGTGGACTCTACTACGACAAACCTCGCCCACTCAATGAAGTAGCAGTTATGCAATAACACACGTATAGTAGCAGCACCGGGACCCGGTCCTACCAAGAACTAAGAAGAAAAAAAGAGAGGAGACCCCGGGGCTCCGCCCTCCCTTCGCATTCCTTGGAAGTCGAAAATCACTATTTCGGCGTGCGCGTCAACCCTTCAAGGATAAGTGTGCCTCCCAAAACTAGCGCTACACTATCGCCAAGGCCTATGAGGGTCTACTGTTGGAGGAAGGTTTCTAGCATTGCCACGCGATGATATGATAAGTGGCATCTTGAGCGATAGGTCATATTGTATCAAGAGTTTGCACACGCCGCAAATACCGTTATGGATCATGTCATGCTAA